GCCAGCCCCCTCCTTCAGATAGACTCGGATAAACAGAGACTGTGAGAACTGCTGATAAAATAACAAGAGCAAAAGTTAGTGGTGCAGTAAGGATTCTGATCCTCCACTCAAGCAAAAGTACCAACGCCGCCGTGTTAAAATACTCCTGCATTTAAAATCCTTCTTCTGTCTGATCAGCTGAATTTACATGAGGTATCTGACACATCATAATGGATTACATTATTAATGCTAATGCATCAGTGCAGCGTTTTCCTGTTGGAGCTGCACCATGTGGAGCCACTTTTAACTTCTTTATACACAGTTGAGTCCAGTGGTCCACAACCTAGAGGGGCTGACCTCTAGAAATCGGAGGGATGATTAATGAGACGATTAATAAGAGAGGAAAGAAGAAATTGGGACTCTTTTTTGCTATTCTAAACAAATTTCTTTGTGCCAAAATGGGAGTTTTACTTCTTAACGCATCAAAAAAGTTGTTTAAATGAAGTCATCTTAGAAGTTTAGAAAGAGAATGCCTCCCTTGGATGGACGTCTCAAGCTAAAAAGGTCGGGAACACTGGTTTGTTCTTTAACAGCGTGTTGTTAACCCTCAACACATGCGAGGTTACAGTAGTTGGTCTACTTGTTTGTTACCAAATAACTTGGGAACGGTTAACTGTCAATGCCTAAAACTGTAGAGCCCATAATTTAGATCTGTGACTGGTGGATTTTGCTATAATTGCTTTGTTCACCAGTTATGGAGCGATTTGTACTTTAAAACGACCGTGCCAAGTTTGTGCTGCTCTGTCAGACATAATGGTCACTGGCAGTGTGTGAGTAAGCTTTAGAAACTACCTACAACACTCACTAAACACATTTATAGTGAAAAGACTTTGCTACCACAAGACTGTCTTTGTTCAGTTTCTGGCAGCTGGCTACTGTTGACCGTACGCATATTGCAGAACGTCGAACTTGAGCATGAGAGCAAGGACACATGGTCACCATTGGGCTTCACAGTGAGGGTCGTGGCACATTTGTTCGGATCTATAGCACGTGAGTTACCACCAAGTCGATTTGTGTTGCGGACAGTTCAATTTTGTGTGAAATTTGCTGGTGAATCCCCGAAGCTAAGACTGTACTGCACTGACTCTCCGGTGAGGCATCCTTGAAAGTGTGGTACGTGTTTGGCAGTGTTATATTGACTCTGACTATTATACAGCAGGCTGTAATATTTAATGCTAAAAAAGCATCATACTAAACCAAAAATTTCCCACTATACGGTAACTCCCTTTAATGCAGTCATATGTTCAGAACCACCCCTCAGCACTGAGTGAGCAGCAAGACATTATTCTACAGTATTGTAGCATGTACGATGAGCATCCCCCCCAAACATACATCACCTCCTGAAGGTGATACAAAACCAAGGTGTACAGATAATCCATCACACATACGAGTCTGATCTGAGAACAGTTGTGACCTTTTAATTGCATGAGGATTGCCGAGTGCAATGAAATGGACTCAAACAACAATCAGACAATGTATGGCCGATTTGCAGCACAAATTCAGATTTTATGTCGTTTTTATGAGAGTTAAATTGATCTGATTGATTGATTGATTTGTTTTTGTAGTTTCACAGTGGTTATCCTGCACTGTCGTCTCACAACTGCCTTCTGCTCATAGATGTGAAGCATGAAAAGTTGTCTGTGTTGCGATGGACTGGCAGCTTATCCCGGCCTGACTTAGCCTCTCACCCAGTGTGAGGTAGTAAAGAATAATGAATGAAGTCAGTCAATTCTACTGCTGTTGGATACGAATCTAACTTGCACAAGAAAATGTGACCTTTGTGGCACCATTGCCAAAGATTAACTTCAAATCTTAGAAACCTGGAATTTTTGGAATGGACACTGTCAAATATTGACATCTTGTGGGAATCGATGCTAATATTAGCTAGCTAGGCTAACTACATGATACTAAAAGGAAGAAAACTGGTTAGCTTAGCTCCAACTTTTTGGTTGGAACACAACAATTCAAAGAGTCCCCACATGTTGAACCTTACAAAGGAACAGTTGTCTTAAATGCAGATAAACAACGGATTGCTGGGCTCATTGAAAGAGGAGGGAAAACCTGTGTGTCGTATGAAAGTTCAAAGAGGCTAAAAGTTTCTCTAGCAACAAACGCACTGCAGAAATTGATTAATTCTCTGAGCACCGACAGCCATTAAATGTCAGTCAGCAGCTGCTGTGGGAACCACCCACTCAGACGCTTCAAGCTTTAAACACTGTTTTCACAAACTGTTTTAGTTCAGGCTGAAAACATGAAAAATCACACTCTTGTTTGAGTTCAAGGTGGAGGTTAAAATCACAGTTGCCACACGGAGCATCAGTGTCAAATTAACCGTCACATCAGAGGAATAAAACGCCGAACAAACACGTACGAAGTGATTCCTCCTCCATCACTGTTATCATTCTGTTTGTGCAAATGAAACGCTCAGTATTCGTCTCATACATTCCTCTTCGGTTAAATCGTTCTTTTATTTTATCAGGGAGCGTATACGCAGTCCTGCGGTGCCGACTTGTCGAAGATGCGGCACAAAGAGAATTCTCTGTGGAAAATCAAAATTTCATTTGCAACATCGGAGGAAGAAATTAAAGAAATATAAACAGTTGTGATGTGGGTTTGGTGCGGCAGCGTCTTCAGCATCATGCTGCTAAAGACACAGAACGGAGTGAATCTAAGTGCTGCTCGCTCTGCAGAGTCCTCGTTTACAGCTCGCAACTAATTTAGACTTTTGTTCTGTCGTTTTTTTCCACACAGAAAATCTCAATGGTGCATTCTCTATGAGTTTATTTTAAGGTCAAAATAATGTTCATGTGATTGTAGCTGAAGCACAAAAAAATCATTTGTTCTGTGCTACAACCTGCAAACTTGTCTTGTTTTGGTGTTCTGTTCAACAATGTTAGCATGCTAAGCTATAATCAAAATAAGCATTAGCCCATAAACATTTGTGAGCGTGTTAGCATGCTAATGTTAGCATGTAGCTCAAAGCGCTTCGGAGGCTGTGCAGCTTCGAGCAACATGCTAATGTTAGCATGTAGCTCAAAGCGCTTCGGAGGCTGTGCAGCTTCGAGCAACATGCTAATGTTAGCATGTAGCTCAAAGCGCTTCGGAGGCTGTGCAGCTTCGAGCAACATGCTAATGTTAGCATGTAGCTCAAAGCGCTTCGGAGGCTGTGCAGCTTCGAGCACGGCCGGAGAGTCTGACACGACATCCACACTAATGCATTTCCATCCAGACAAGAAATAATCACTATCCTTACATCAGGCCTGAGAACGCTGCCACAAACCAGAAACAAAGAATTACTTCCTTAGTTGTTGAAAAATTTCCTTGAATAATAGGTTGCCTCCCGTAAATGTAGGCTGTAGCAGAATTTAACTTCACAAAAGCTGCCTTCAGACAAGAAAATCAGCAATGCCTGTAATTCATCATCAAGCTGAATGAACGGCTGGTAGTCAAGGCTCAAGTCTTTGTTTTATTCCAGTAATGGGTCACGTGATAGAAGAGTCAGGGAATGACGCAGCGACAAACAAAAAACTAACGTAGGAGTCTGCGTCATCGTCTCCAGAAGTCTCTGTTGCTGTCTGTCTGGACTAAAACACAACCCCAGAGTTTTTTCTTTCCTGAGAGACTGCATTTCGAGGTCCTAAAACGCTGGAGCAGTGTGGATGGTAGGAGTAAATGTAGCCACAGTTATGCATCTTTAGGTGTGTTAGCGTGGCTCTTGCCTTTGTCATGTTGTCCACATTACAGACGACGCACCAAATATATGAGATTATTAAGGTAGGAAAGGTTTTAGCATCCGAATGTTCCCTTTTACAACCGTAGATGTCGCACTGGTTTGTGGATTTCCTTTTCAAAGCCTCAAGTTAGTTATTCAGCCAACAAACTCACGATACACAGCGACCTGTCAACCACAAGGTCGCCACAGCTTAAAGCATACGCTGCTTTATCGCAAGTTACTAAATAAACATCATGCTGCACTCACAAAGTCTGGAAACAAGCAATCAAGACCATAAATTAATTTGGAAAATGTTTACCGAGATAACAAATCAAGTGAGAAGTTTTCTCACCTTGAGTGCAACCAGAGGGGTCGCCCCCTGCTGGCCATTACAACACCTACAACTTTAAGTCACTTTGAGTTTGTTGTTACTTTTACTTGTTGCCTTTGATTTCAACAGCAAACTTGATGCCAGACTAGATAAAGAAGTAAAATCATCTGGTCTTTCAGTCTGATTACAATGTGATTAATACATTCTGTCACTATCAGCATCTCCTTTATTATTCTAATCGGACAACCAAAGATGCCACATCAAGGTGCAAAATGTTCAAACTTGCTGCATACTACGAACTAAAATTCAAGGGATCTCTGACTGCACTGCATCAACATCAACCTCAGCTGTGTCTCAGCTTACAGCTTACATCACTGGAGGTGTACAGACTTACGTCACTTTGTTTAGGTGTTCACAGTGAAGAATCTAATTTGAAGCACCTTTGAATCCTCTCTGCATGACTGTGCACAGTTTGATTCTCTCCTACAGCGACTCTTACTACTACTAATGCTACATTAACTTTGTTGTGATGCATATACAGTTATTTGAGAAAAATACATTTATATCTGCAGCTGAGGAGGTCATGACTGAGCCCAGTGAGGGATTAGAGAGCCGGGGCTTCGATCTGTGGTTTGGTGCCGCTGTACGGCCTCGATGTGCCCTATTGATATCAGATAGCAGCCCGACTTTGTGGAATTGTAAAATGCTTATCTAAACTTTTCTCTGCATACTCATTTCCAGCCCTGAGAGCGTGCACTTGTTTCCCCGGGGAGCTTCTGTCGCTGTTTTCTGAACGCAGCCTCCTAAAGTAACTGGATAACTGCCCCGCGGGTACAAACGCTGAGAGCTGGCCGACTTCCTGTTTGTCCGAGAGATTGTTTGTGTTTGATTTGGAAAGCGTGCGTCGCGGCGAGTGACCTGCAGATGGAGTGGATCTCGTGCATGTCCTCGTCCTTGCGGGCGTTGTCCGTCAGACTGTCGCCCAGAGCCATCAAACACTGAGCGAAACCCTTGTAGATGGAGTGACACCGTCTGGCCGAGGCTGCAGCGACAGGGCACGGGCTCAGCACTGCAAGAACACACACAAAAAACACACAAAGTCCGTAAACACACAGAGAAACTGGGAGCTGAAGTATCAATCTGAGCAGAATTGTAAGTTTCTTCCGTTAAAGTCCCTCTCTGGCCATCGATTTAACCCCTAAAACTCCTCTCTCTGCATATAAGTTACACATATAGAAGGCTTTCCATGACAACAATCCCCTTTTTTTGCCTTAATATGGTTCAATTGTGATTCCTCTTGAATGCTTCCTACCTCGCTGTAGCTCAAGCACACCAGCTCACCTGCAACTCTGCTCAAACACTGTCAATCTGCACAATGTTGAGCTGGAATATCAGTGTCATTCTGATGTATATGTGTGAACCAGAAACCGAATCGTAAGAAGAATAATGATAGAGAAAGAAAGACAGATTTTAGCAGTGCTGCTAATCAGACCGATACTGTTTACAGGTCCAGTACTTTAAAGGTCATCTTATTGGTTATTTTTGATATTTAAAAAGCCCCAAGCGGTTTCTGTGTGTTTTTGTTGCTCCTCTCACATTTTTCCACACTGTGATCGCATTTTTAATGCACCTACATAAAAGTAGTTACAGAGTTATAACAAAGAAATTATGTAAAACCAACAAAAAAATAATAATTTTTTTTAAAAGTTGAATTTTATAAATTACTTATTTAAAAACTGAAAAACAACAACAACAACAAGAAACAACACTGGAATTATAACCGCTGCATGCTGGTTTGGTGGTTAACACTGTTGTCTCACAGCTAGAAGGTCGCCGGTTCGCGTCCTGGTGAGGACACCCGGGATCTTTCTGCGTGGAGTTTGCATGTTCTCCCCGTGCAGCGTGGGTTCTCTCCGGGTTCTCCGGGTTCCTCCCACACAGTCCAAAAACATGTTGAGGTTAATTGGTGATTCTAAATTGTCCGTAGGTGTGAATGTGAGTGTGCTTGGTTGTCTGTCCCTAAGTGTAGCCCTGTGATAGACTGGTGACCTGTCCAGGATCATACTTACTTGTATAATGACAATAAAAGACTTTCTATTCTATTCTATTCTATTCTTAACTGCTATATTAACCTGCTATATTATTATTATTATTATTACTACTACTACCACTAGTTGTCTCCTAACTACTCTGTGTAAACACAACCTGCAGTTCACATGAAAAGCTCCCAGATGTATAACTGTTGGTCACAGCTGAGTCACAAATGGATTCCCAGTTGTGCAGATTTTTATGTTTTTTAACAGAATCTGGGGTAAACACTATATTTTTAGCTGCATTTCTAATGCACCACGTAGAATAAAGGGACTGCGAAGAAATCTGGTCGAGTTTTTCCAGACAAAAGTGAACGTCAGATAAGTTCAAGGATTGTTGAAAATCCTTTGATTCTTTCTATTTTGACAGGTTCTAGTTCTGATAAATGGTGATGATTGTGTTTCAAGGTTTAGCAGGTTAAGAGGAAAAAAAATGCAAAATCTAAATTTGATTGAAATTTCTTCTCCTTTTGAAATGTCCTCTTTCATTCTTCACTTTTAAGTCATAAATAGTTTGTAGGACTTTGTCAGTGTTTTTACTATACAGTAGTAATAGTCTAACGATGGACCACAGTAGAGGCTACAGGCTGCATGTATCAGCTGCCATTGGACGGTTTTCTCGTCTTTGCCCACAATCTGTGAGTTACTGTTTTCAAAATCCTCAGCAGCAACCTCCAGGCTTCCAATTAACCACACCGAAAAGATGGTGGGTCGTGCGGTCGGGCATCCCTGCAGTTTTTTGTTTGTTTGTTTGTTTGTTTGTTTTTTGGTGAATCAGTCATTTTAGTGAGGGCGCTTGCCTTCTCTACAGATGTTCCACCAAAACAATTCCCCCGTCGCTATTTTGGAGGAACATCCTGGGTTTCAGCTCCGCAAACAAAAACCAACTAACAAAGAGGGTTTTCTCCGTAGAACAGAATGATGCTGAGGCGCAGTCAGACCTTTCTATTCTGCAGAATGGTCTGGTTATACGAGAGGAGAGGAAAAGTGACAATAAAGTGAGACACAGTTTGCCTGCAGCCCTTCTGAAGCTGAATATTTCAGATTGAATTTATGCAGACGACCACAGATGAACAATCAGCCGACCGGTGCTTGCCGTTAGTCATTAACACATGTTTAGTTAGCTCAGTGTGAGGGCTCCAGGCTGGGATCGTACACAACAAACCTGAAGCTACAAACGCTGGACTATGAGCTGCCTGTAGGTCATGAAGTTTATCTGGATGTTTCCACAGATTGATCGATTAATTTTCTCTCACGTGCAAACGACTTGTTGCACTTTGCACTGAGCGATCGACTCCAGAGAAGCGTAATCACAGTTTTGAATGCTTAATTCTCTCCACAATTCATCACTCAGAGCAGGATGTGTATGTGTGTCATAGAGAGAACTCTCAATTGGGAACAGCGAAAATGGGTCAAGAGATAAAAAGTGCAACATAATGTTCATGCAGGAATGACAACTAGGAAATCTATTTTCTTAATTTCTGCAACAAGAAACCCAAAAACGGCAGGTTTCTAATCTATCCATCCATCATCTATACACCGCTTAGTCCTCACTAGGGTCATGGGGGGCTGGAGTCTATCCCAGGTTCACCTGGACAGGTCACCAGTCTATCACAGGGCTACACTTAGAGACAGACAACCAAGCACACTCACATTCACCAGTTAACCTCAACATGTTTCTGGACTGTGGGAGGATACCAGGTGTCCTCACTGGGATGCAAACCAGCGACCTTCTAGCTACGACAGTTCTGACCACCGAGCCATCTTGCAGCCCATTTTTTTGATTCTTCACTCTTTAAAAATAGTTTTTAATAACCTCCCACTACTGGACTGATTCACTGTGCAATAAAACATTCTAACAAAGATATGCAATATATGTAAATATTGTATTGTATTAATAAACCAAAAGAGCAATACTCATATTTAGAAATATTTATTTAAATTAAACTGGTTATTTGCTCTCTCTCATCATGTATGTGTGTATAGATGTGTATTTGCACCGATTATTATTACTATTATATTGCTATTATTATTATATATTTATTCCTTATCTTTTATATATAAATATCTTTTCCTATGTACCCCCATTCAGAAGCCCATTCTCATATTGCCTTTGCACTACTCTCCTTTTATGTGTACTTTTGTACTTGTTGCACTATTTCTTATACTTATATTTATATGTACATTTTTTCTGTCGAGTATGTGAGTATCTCTGTGTGTAAAGCTGCTGACAACAATGTGAATTTCCCCACTGTGAGATAAATAAAGGCATATCTTATCTTATCTTATTTAATATGAATTTTATTCGGAGTTTTTTTTATTTATATTTTCTATCGTTTACACCTTTTTTTTTTTTTTTACAAAAATATTCCCCATTTTGTCTCTGTTCTTTACTATAATGTAATTTCATTCTGATGTGCACTGTACCCAACAACAAATAATAAAAGTCTACCAGTCTAGTACTTATACCTCTGCGCTATGCTGCAAATTGACAGAATTGACTCCTCAGGTTTTCCACGTATGAAACTCCAGAAGAGCAAATCAGTGTTTCTGTGACACTGATGGCATGTTAAAAACCCCCATGTGCACGTGTTGACAAGGTAAAAAAACTTGTTTTCCTCAGAGATGTGGAGCAGACAAGAGGAAGTCTGCAGTGAGTGACGCCGCTGTCTATGAAGCTGTTTGTTTCAATGATGGAAGTGAGAGGTTGAGGATTATCCATCATCCGCACACAGCCACAGACAGCCGAGGGCCCGACTTCAATCCTTCTCCCCCGCTCGCTCGTTCAGGTTTTAAAGTGCGCTGCTGATTTATCGCTCGCAGGATGAGACGAGTCAAGGCTTGTTGACCAAGAAATGGAAATACAACAGAGGAGAAAAGCCCAGTCTGACTCGTGTTTATCCTCGGCAACCGCAACACACAAATCATGTTTGAATGCCCCAAACCGGCTAAAGCTCGCACTAGACTTCCACCAGCACACGCAAATATTTTCATCCCGCTGCCAGAAAACCAAATCACACCGAGCGACCGAGTGCAGAGGACGACACACTGAACAACACACAGGCTGTGATAAAAAGTTGTCCAGTTCCAGACCCCTGAATCAGCATTCGCATCTCATTTAGGAAGCAATTTGAAGTCTGGCGTCTGGAGCAGCCGTCCAATTAGAGCCCACTATGTTGGATATTTAAAAAAAACAGAAGAAGCAGCTCCTGGAAACATGACACAGATGCGACGTTTCAAGTAGCTGCAGGTTCAAATACGTGCACGACAATGCTTCTTTAAATATACGTATTTATTTAATCGATGTGAGAAAGATGCGCTGATCCTCGCGGCAGCTGCTTCCCATAATGAGAAGTCTTCAAACAAAGTCAGTCTGAGTGAATGAAGCAAAACAAAACAAAAAAAAATCCTACTCTGCTTTTCAGCAAACACAGAATCCTGCATATTCCTGAACAGAAACAGACACAGTTTTTCTTCTGCCTTCTGCTGCGTTATGTTGATACTGCTGCTTTTTTCATCTGTTAAACTCAGTCTAAAATAAAAAAGCATCAACATAAAACACTATCGGAACCACAGAGTGCTTCAGGAGGGCAGCCCAGACTTTATTAACCCTTTGGACAGGCTGGCATTAC